TATTTAGTTTTGTTTTCATGCAAAATGGCACTCTTAAAGAAGCTATGGATGGAAGGTTATGTTTCTGCTCTTTTTGAAGAAAATTACTTGTATCTAGTTATTAAAAAACACTGTGAAAGTCACTGTTTTTTTATATCTAGAGGTAATATAGGTAATATTGTCAAGAAAGGAAAAATGGCTTCAAATATAAAGTTTGTTCCAAACACATGTCCAGAGGAAAAATGGAATGTTTCGAACGTTGCAAAGGTTAAAAGAAAATCTGCCAGTTACAGTTGCAAAATCATTAAAATGCTCAGTGTCAACTGTAAACAAAGTGATTGATGCTGATTTAAATCTTAAAAAGTTGAAAAAACATAATGTGCATTGTCCTTATCCATGACATATCATCGAATGCAGAATGTGCTGCAGAAAGTATATGAGAGATTTTATGAGAAACATTTATCCAGAATGGAAAAATGTGTCACAATAGATAAATCTTGGGTGTATTTAAATGATTACAATAAAAAGAGATCCATTTATTATCATCAAAGGGGGGGAATCTTCAAACATCATTCAAAGAATCTACAGAAAGTTTTTCAAAGGGATTTATTATTATTGCTGGTTTTTCATACAACGGCAAATTAAAAATAAAAAGAGTGGAGAAAAATGTTAAGATTAACTCCACATATTATTAAAACATATTCTATACTCAATTTTCAAATATGAAATAAATTATCTTTACACCTACGGTACCATCAATCAGCACTGCATAAAGACAAAGCAAGCAGCCACACATCAAAATCCACTGTTAATTTCCTGGAAAAAAATGGAACAAGAAATGGGTATCAAGGCATACCCTTTATATCACTACTCAATCTCCTGATCCAAGGATTTTTTATCCTTTTGGACTTTTAAAAAGCAGATTGTCCAAATGTCAGCCTACAAACCTTCTTGGACTTTGGGAAGCTGCCTCTGAGGAATGGAATAAAATACCTTTTCTAATACTACAAAAGGCTTTATTGTCTGCAAATTAAGATATAGAAAGACAGTGAAGAATAAGGGTTATCAAATAGGACATTTAAAATTTAAAAAAAAAAAGAAAAAGAAAAAGAAAAGAAAAGAAAGAAAAGAAAGAAAGAAATTAGATAAAATATTTCTTTAAATACAATGGAAATAGAAAAATGATCGACCAGCCTCTGTATATGGGAATTTACTTATTCGGAACTCAGATAAGCCTTAAGGATGAATAGGAGAAGTAGACATAAATATAATAAATAATTAAACTAATATAATTCAAGTTTAACTTCACCAGCATGCAACAGAAGCAAGACAAAATTTAGAGGGACAACAGATCTTTAGTCACCAATCTTATGATACGTCGCCAATAGCAGACAGTAGACTTGAGCTAAGAATCCTGGATTTCAAAGTTTTCAGATATCACAAAAATAAAGTTAAATTTCCCAATCAATAGAATTTGTGAAAAAAATGTAGAGAATTGTTAATAAATGAAGATGATATAACAGAAGCTTTTCATTGCAATGACAATGCCCCAATCATTAAATGAACGAAAGGAAGGCAAAGTCTGTAGCATGGTTCTAAATCCCAAAAATTTTGCTACAGAGAGTGAAGAAAGTGATAAAGAGGTAGTTGAGAATGAAATAATTCCGACTGACGATTTAGAGGGAATTCACAATACAGAAATTACACAAGAATTGTAAAATGACTATAAAACTTTGGAACTGAACAAGAAATCATGTGTATCTACAAAATAAAAGAGAAAGTATTACCACAAACACTACAAAACCACAAAACTTAAACAACTTACATTGAAAGAAATGTTCAAAAAAGCACAAAAATAAATATTAAGCTTTTTTGGGGGTACATTTTCATTCCCTTAAAGTCATAAATGCTTCATTACTTCATAAAAAACTATTTAATATTTTCAATTTTTTAATTGCTGCATGTCATCTTACTAGATTTAAACTGATGATCTAATATTCAGAAAAATCCCAAATTTAGAATCGTTGAAGTCCCAATAAGACTGGATCTTGGACTTTGTACCGTATTATAATACTTAAGTTAATTCTGACAGAGTTGAGTTAAAATTAGCAGTCATAATTTTCAAAACTTTATGCATCTTATACACAGTATTTACTGGACATAAATTATTGAACACAGACAGAAAATTTTTCCCCAAAAAAAAGAACTTCAAGTTGTCAAGTTAGGTTGGTCTTGCAAATGATCATACACACCCACAAATACCAACAATAGAATAATCAAAAGTCACCTACTTAGTAACCCTATAAAAAAATGAAACAAGCAGCTTAAAATATTCAACTTTGCACCACAGCTGATTGGAAAAATAGTCTACAGTCTATATTGCATTATTAGAGAAACATGTAAAAAGAGCCAAATTTCATAATCAAAGTAAACAAAATCTTCTAATTAGAAAGGCATACACCAACATAAAATTTCAAATTATGTAAAAAAGCAACATCATTATGACATCAATCTACGGTTTTAAACAATCAAAATCTATGCCAATCTAATTTGTTCCTTTTTTGCCTAATTTTAAACAAAAGCTTATTTACTAAGACTTACTTTATTACAAAGCATAAAAACAAAGCTAGCTAAATTATGTTACAATAATACATATTTGAAAGAACCTACCAAGAGAATAAACAGTGTTTTATTTCTTAACATACCTAACATTTACCCGAAAGATCCAATATTCAATTTGATGATTAAAAATATCTGGCAAAGATCTAAAGGCAGGTAGAAGGGACCTTAAGCGGACTTTGTAAATGTTGGAATGTGAGTGAAAAAATGGCCTGTTGAGATAGCACAGGATGTTGTTGAGAAAGAGACAAAAGTGTTTTATTATCATAAATAGAATTTCTCATGCAAATTTTGATTGGTATGCATTGATATATGAATGCAGAAATGCACTTTTAGCTATGAGATTGTGCAGCAGTTACTCAATGGATGTGCACAGAATTATTTCTGAATTCCTTTGAGCAGCAACTTCATTTCTGTTCTCTAAATAAAATGCATGTTGATTAGCTCTGCTTTTATTTAGTAATGTATATTACTTGAAATCTATATGGAGAATGATGAATTATGAAAGAAAACTTTTACCTATTGCTTAACAGTGTTGCACATCACCTCAATGCACCTTTTTCACACACAAAATCTGGTTATTTTGGTATCTTCTACCTGTTTTGCATTTTTTTCAGATATTTTTGAATCATTCTGTAGATTCAAATTCTTGGAAGACAGAAAGGTTAATGGAGTTAAAAACAACTGGATTTCAGAATATCAAAATCAATCATAAATACAATTTCCCAGATAAAGAAAGCTGTCACTTATTGAATATGGCATCCTTTTCCAACTTACTAAGGCCACCGTATTCAGCAATTCATTACATTCCTATTCCTAAACATCATAAATCATTTCACAGCTGGCTAACAGATAAGTTCCATTATGTTTTTCAACAATAAAGTATTAATTATATTAGTATATCATCCATACCAGGGATTCTCAACCGTGTGGTACGCAAGAGAAAAATAGGTGGTACGGAAATAAGCAAAGTATTTTTAACTATTAAATTCAAAAATTAAAACCCCAACATCTTGATTGACTTTTTTCTCCAACACTTGTAAATTTATGCGTTTTGAGCTTTGTTTAAAAGTGGTGGTGATAGTAGTACTTTGTAGTAGTATTACTAAAGGTTTTCAATTTTTTTTAAGACGGAAAGTGATAGTCAAAAGGTTGAGATCTGTTAATTTGTACTATTAAAATATGTGCACGTCTTGTTTATTTATTTGTAACATCATCTCCTCTGGAATGGCTGGGAGTTCAATTTCGAGAGAGGTACTCGCAGATTCCAAAAATTCGTGGGAAGCCATTTTGACCATTCTTGCACCACTTTAATCAGCCAGGATATTAATTAAACACTCTGAAAATGCTAATGTTTGCACCCATTTTTCCAAGTGGCAACAGTCCTGCAGGATGGAGATAAAAATGCTTTATTTTGAAAAGTGTTGCCACTGCCAAATCGTAGAGTTTGTTAATAAAAAATCTGCAAATTTTATGAAATATGAAATAAAATTAGCATAGTCAAATATTAAACATATTACTATTATATACCGTCATATTCTGACATTGACGAAAGCACATGATTGCATGTGACATTATTGTAAATAGAAAATTTTCTGTTAATGTCAGCCTTTTAAATAAATAGTTACTGTTGGCAATTTTTTTGTTTCAGATTAGGATAATTGACATATGTTTTTTTCCATATTAATTTTTTTATTGAAAAAAGTTGTTATATTACATTAAATTTAAATCATGATGTCATACGTATTAACCTGAAGTATCAAAAGTTTTTGTTTCCTGGTTTGGCAACAGAAATTATTTATTATTTGGTTGTTGTTTGGAAAGAATGAACTGATTTTAGCCATGTTGAAACGTTTTTATGTGTTTTCTTTCCCAGTGTACATAGGACTTATAAATTTTGCTTTGGCCAAAACCTGCTCATCTGGCAGGCTTGCACACTAGTACATAATAATTACTGTTGCAAGAACAGAGATAATTATATTAGTTTTACAGTAGAAAACAGACCTTTTCAGAACTGGTAAATTTCTCATTATAAAATAAGTAATCAATTCGCAGAAACTGGAAATATGATTCTGTGAACTATTTGACATATACAATATCCAAAAATACAAACAAGAAAATAAATGGATAAAATATGCATTTTGATCTCAACAAAATTATTTAGATAATAGAAACATAATTGTTATTATACAAAAAAATTTAAATACAGAGCGAAAGTTAATTAATATAAACTAGTTTGTTAAGAGAAGAGTTTCAAATCTTAGATTTACTTAAAAAGATTTCAGTTACATCCATTGAAAGTAAGGGAGACATATCTTTTTTTAAATTTATTCTATTTATATTAAAACAAAATGAGATCATAAAATAGGAAATCAAATTTAATTCATCCATTAAAAACTTACGTCGTAGTCTCAGATAGCATTTTACAAATATTTTCAGCTTTCAGACTCCTGCGTAACTTTTCAGAAGCTGACAATTCTTCAGACTCCACCTCAACATAGCGCTCAGGAATTTCAATTTTTTGTGGCAGTCCCAGCTTTTAATTAGATAAATGTAAAAATTAATTAGCTGCGATTACATGATCTTTTCCACTTTTTAAATAAACATTGGGAACACACATTCTAACTTTGCATGTAAAAATACACATGGCTTGCATTAGACCATTCTTTACCAATATAATTTTAATCCTTTATCATTTCAAAATAAATAAACAATTAAACGGAGGAAGAAAAGAAGAACTGAATATTTTTTACTACAGACTCTTTTTTTTTTTACTTCAAATGAAGTATATCTACTTATACATTTTATAATTTAATTTTTTAATTAGTTAAATTTTTATTAAAGCTTTCTGGTGCAGATAACTAAGATACAATTCAACATATAAAACTACAAGTGCTAACTCATAATTTCAGAACTGTAGTTAGTCCACTTAGAAAGTCCAAATTTTTATTTAGGCACACACACACACACACACACACATATATATATATAAAGGCTTAATAGTTCTATATCAGAAAAGAAAATTTTCAGAAATTATAAAAACTGGGTGTGTGTACTGAATATAGTGTGTCACAAGCCAAAAAAATAACTGAGAACAACGAATCTAATAGAAAGTACCAATGATAATTACATATAACATACTAGATTATGAAATGATTTTTATATACCTCTCTTTCAATAATTTTATCATCAAAAACTTCTTTTTTCTTGATGGTGCTACGTACAATATCAGGTGTGTTAGCAGTACGAAGACACCGTTCCATGTCAACATCATCTCTTGAACGAGGTCTGTCCTATATAAGTATAAATATCAGATGAATATAAAAAAACATAAGCTAACCAAAGTTATAATTTTTTAATGCTTTACTCATTTTTCCTTATTTACTGAAAAGTTACAATTAATTTAAGTACTTTTTGGAACACACATGATATTAAAGTTTGAGGAAGGATACTTAAAGAAATGAAGTTCTTCTAAACAGTCTGTTACATATTTTTGAACAATTTAATAAAAATAAATAAATACATATTGTGACAATTTCATGCTTATTTTCCTTTTTGCTTTATTCTATCACAAATAATTTTTAATACATTATCTTTGTTTCCACTAGCCACTATAGAAAATTAAGTTCCAATTTAACATTATCAACAACAAAAAATCTCCAATATCATTAAACAGAAAATATTACAGTACAAAGTCCGAAATTTGGACATCCATTATCCGGAATGATCTAAAATCTAGACCTCGAAAACCACCACCAACTATTACTTGATTCTTAATTTCACTTTGACACTAAATAAAATACCTTGTTATTGAAGAAACAATCATTTTAGCATAAATTTGTATGATTAGTAATTAGGCTCAGGTGCTATGTATCTGCTTTGGCACACATCTCAAACTGAAACATAGCACATAGACACATCGTTGATCTGACGCCAAGCTGGCGAATCACTATTTATTACACTTTCCTTTCATCACCGCACGTTTGTCAAAACATGACAACTTGAGTAATGACTCATGTAGCAATGCCTAAACAATTTTTTTATATTAGTAATTGAATAATAAAGGAGTATGGTAACCTTTTATGTTGACATTATGCTTGGCGATGAGTACAGATTTAAGTTAAATGCACTAAAAAATGTTGACAAGGAAAAATTTACGAAAATTTTTTTTCCATATGTTAAAAATAGATTTTGTTGATGATACTCAGAGACCCAAACATTACATTTAGAGCTATTTGAATTAAGAATAACTGATTTATTCACATAAACCCAGAACCAGCACCAGGGCTCATATGGCCGCACCGAGTCGCAGAATTTTGGACCCACTGAGACTGCTTCAGATATCTAGCGCCGGTCCTCAATAAGGCTTAAGTATATATGGGAATGTATTTATTCAGAACTCTGATAAGCCTTAAGTATATTTGTGAATTTATTTATTCAGAACTCTGGTAAGCCTTAAGCATATGCAAGAAATAGACATTAGTATAATTAATAACTAAACTAATACAATTCAGGTTTAATTGTCTTATTGTGCAATAGAAGCAAGATAAAATTTAACGGAACAACTTGTCGTTAGTCAACAAGCTCATGATGTATAGTGAAGGATAGCTAAATTTGATGCTGATAGCTGCTAATTTTAAACGTTTTCAGATATTGCAAAATAAAGGTGACATTTTGACATTTTCCAATTAAAGGATTTTGTAAAGGAATGTGGGGAAGTGGTAATAAATGAAAATTTTATAAAAGAAGTTTTTCATTGTGATGACAATGCTTCTCAATCATCAATCAATTAATGAATGGCGAAATCTGTAGTATGGTTCTAGATCCAGAAAATACCGCTACCAATAATGAAGAAAGTGACAGAGAAGTTAATGAAAACGAGAAAATTTTGATTGACAAGTTAGTTGGAATTCTCGAAACAGCAGTTGCAGTACTTCAACAATGTAACTAAACAAGAGATTATGTCTGTTTACAGAATTAAAGTATTTGCACAAAAAATGAAGCAACTTAAACAACTTACACTGAAATAAATTTTAATAAGGTAAACAAATAAATATTAATTTTTTTTGTAAATTTTGATACCCTTTAGAACATAAATACTTCATTATTTCATAAATCACGATTTCATATTTTTAATTTTATAATTTCTACATGCCATCATCTTACTAGATTTAAACTGATGATCTAACATCCGGAAAAATCACAAATGTAGAATCGCCGAATTCCCGACGAATCAGGATTTTGGACTTTGTACTGTAATGTTTTTTGATACAATAGCTTAACTAATTAATGATATAATATGAGGGACGCAGCCTGACCCTCCTGGCAGACTTTACGTCACCCTATGGCCTTGTTTGTGGGCTGCACCAGAGCAAGCTAGAAACAACACCTTCAACAAACAGGCATAAAGAACATAACTAAAAAACAAAATCAAAATTAAAATCCATATTGCAAGCTTATCATGATTAATCTTCTCCATCTTTTTCCTGGCAAATTTTTTCAGTCTTAAAATCATTTAAAATATCTTATATATTAAAAACATCATTTTTCTTAAACTTGTTCCCGATATCAGTAAAATATTTACATGTTTCCACATAATACTCTGCAGCACCTGGTTCTTTACAAATATCACAGAGGTCAGACTCTTGTAAGTTAAACCTTTTAAAATAGAAAGGAAAACGGCCATGACCTGTAATGATTTCGTTAACGTCAATGTCTGAATAACAGAAACCTTAAGTTTAACAATTTCAAAGAACCTTATTTCGATCAGACCTTTCCCCTCTCTCCATTTATCAAATATAATTTTTCATAACAGTCACAGCTTTCCTTGTTGATCCCTGTAGATCAATATCAGAAGTATTAACATCAGTAATTGCCTCCTTGGCCAGTGCGTCCGCCCTCTCATTTCCAAAATGTCCAACATGTGCCTTCATCCAATTAAGCACAATATTTTCATCTTCTCTCAAGTTTTTATATAATTCTCTAATATCTACCATTAAAGGGTTGTCTTGATCAGGTCATGAGAGAGCTTAACTGATTAATATAATAAATAATAAAGTAAACAAGCAAACATTGAATAAACAAATGTAAATAAAGATGCTTTTAGATAACATTTTTAATTTTAAGGGCTAAGAAAATGACATAAAACTAATGTTCAGAAAAATACAATCTAAATTGCATCAATGCACAGTCAATCAAAATTTTAAAAAATAAATATACAAGTATAACTAACTTTTACTTTCCTTATCAGACCTACCTTGGAATATGGTTCCCCTATTTATTTCTCCATAGCAGATTCTAATCTCACTAGGCTGAAAAGTGTTCAAATTAGTGCAGCAAAAATCATTTCTGGCTTGAGGCATAGCTGCCTTAATGATATTGCTCTATTTGAATGTGACCTCCAGCCACTGAGTAAAAAAAAAATCTTGTCTTGTTAAATATTATAATAAGCTTCTTAGTTATGACGACCAGAATACAACATCTTCCTACTAAAGAACTAGGTCAATAACCAAACAAAGAGAAGTAGTCCCTTTTCTTAAGCAACTTCGCAAAGTTTTGTTAATTTCTCCCCCCCTTGTCAGATTAAACATCACTCTCTGAGGCTATGCTTTAGGCCTGTCTATGACTTTAGAAGCATCCATTTTCACACCACACTTTTGAACCAAGTTCGCAAAAATGCTGACAACCCTGATTCATGAGACCAGATGGACCTGGAAACTATCAATCATATATATACCTAATTATGCTCTTCGAATATATACAGAATGGCAGCAAGAGTGATCAAGCCCATTCTGATAGTGGTATCTTCATCAGGACTACTTAAAAATAAAAATTCAAATTCAAATTCTTGTTCTGTATTCAGATTTGAGCTCAATGCTATCAAAAAAGGCCTGAGCTATTAAGAGAATATTGTTCAACATGATTTTGTGGATATACAGATCCTAGCTGACCGTCGATCATCAGTTCAACATGTAAGTGACTGGACAGAGGTTATGGACAGGGCTGAAATATCTATTCTGAACTTACTTTCTAATCTTTCAGTTAATTCCAAGGTTAACATGCAATGAATTCCCTCCTAAATAGGCATGAGATTGTGGACTCGCCGGCAAAGGCTGCTGCTTTATAGACTCCTCAATCAGATATGCTTTTCATTTACAGGAAGGTATTCTCCGAGTGTAAGAAATCACTTCAGGATCTCTGGAGTGTCCCACCAGTACATGATTGGTACTCAAGAGTTTGCGCTTTTGGCATCCTACTTTTTGGGGCCCATAGAAGCCAGCAGACTTGCATATCATGGACATTTTAAGAAGCCTCTCTTATGAACAAGGGCAAAAAGTTTTTAAAACCTGCACCAAGTGTGCTGCTCAGGGATCATCTGATCATATTTTATTTTGTCTTGATTTTACTTTGGATGAGGTTTTTTTCAATAATTCTTCTCTTTTTACACTTTTTAGACGTTTTTGGACTTGTAGAATTGGTCTAAAAATGTTGGACCACTTCGAGGATTAGAAACAACAACATAAAAAGGGTTTAACCAATTAGAAACAGTGGTAAATACAAGCTAAGTGTTGATGTGCACTCTTTATTGTGCATAATTTTTATATATTTTACATTTATCAAAAACAACAGAGTGCAAAATTTTAATTAATATAGCAGTAGCTCAGCTGCACACCCAATACAATGTTCAAATCAATATAATGGATGTAATGAATAACTTACTATTACACTTGTGACCAAGACAACATCCCTAAGTATTATGTGCAAGACTCAGAACTATACGCTCATGTTAAAATATAACCAAAAAGAAAAATCTGCATTCAGAAGACAATTATCTGAATGAGATGGCTAAATACCAAAGCAGACTGCAGAAAAATCATGAAACCACAGTTTCCAACTTTCTAGGCTAATAGTCTGGCCATATTACAGAAGTTATTATACCTAAGCTATTATAGTTATTATATCCTCCCCAAGATACAATTGATACACAGAAGAAACAAAAAGATCCATGAAATTAAAATGAAATTAAAACAAAATAAAATAACCTAGGTTAACACAAAAACTGCGCTGAAACTTTACTAAACTAGGTAGCCATTCTGCTTCAAGAGCTGGAATGTGAATCTTGATCCAAATCCTGATTCCAGCTGATAAAGCAGATGGGCCATCTCTCAAAGCTCCTACCTTAGTTATGTTCAAATGTAGTTTTAGGATGGTAACCTAGATTGCTTTATTTTGTTTTAATGGAGCTGATACTGCACTGATTGCCAAAGATGACCCTAAAACATTAATAAATTAAATCAATTTATATGTCTGGATGAGTATACAAAAATAAAATAGTGCTTCAATAGAAATAATTATTAAATAGTAGTCAATGAATTCTTATTGCATCCCTTCTTCTACAAAATAGTAAATTCTATTAAATTTATTTTTGCCAAAATAAAAAAAAAAAAAAAAAGAATACTTATTGTAAAAAAATATTAAAATATTTTATCTAGGTCTTACCTTAAAGTACTGCATGAACTGTGGATCAAGCATATACTGATAACCACTGACAGTGTAATGCCTTCTCTTTGATCGCCTTGAAGAACTAACATGATCTTGATTTTCTGTTGATGATGTTTCTTTCTTAGAAGAAGAACCAAACAAACGCTCATGAGCAGATTGTGTGTTCTGTATAAATATGAAAATTACACTATTACCAACATAAATTTAACATTAAAATATCTTCTATTATATAAAAAATAATGTAAGTAAATAAATGTTTTTGTATTGTTTGATTAAAATTGTAAAAATAAGCTAAATATTTACAAAAGAATTTTTTAAAAAAGGGAGACTTAAAAACTTACTGTCTGACGACTGGTATTTGAAGAGAAAAGATATATTGACGATGGTCTGTGGCTCAGAGGTGTAGATTTATTATTTCCTTAAATAAATTAAACTTACAATAAATAATAATAATAATAATAATAAAACCTAAATAAATATTTTTAAGTCTTTAATTTTATGAAAAAAAAATAATAATAAAACCTAAATAAATATTTTTAAGTCTTTAATTTTACGAAAAAAAATGCTCTAAATGCTCAGACATAGTTAGATAAAATAAATGTGAAAAAATACAGCAATAACTAAAAATTTATGGCTAAAAATGTTTAATACCATTCATGTTATATTATTGACTGCTGTAACCCCCCCCGGCGTTGCCCGTGCATTAGAAAAGCAGATAAGTGTGAAAATGCAGGAATAGTAGTAGGACGTGTAGCTCCGCCCGTGCCCGTGCATTTAGAAAATGCAGATAAGTGGAAAATGGCAGGAAGAGTAGTGTAGGACATGTAGACTGTCTCTCTCTCTTCCCCCCCCACAAGCTACAAAAAAGAAATGAATTGTAATTAATCGATTTAATGTATTGTCAAAACAGCAAACTAACGCTAGAATAAAGAAATCAATTGTTACAATCGAACGTTATTTGAAAACAAATAATATCAGTGAGTCAAAAAAAAACCGTGATTAATTAATTATAAATAATTTTTTTAAAATTTTTCTAGGCAAAAATCGAAAATCGGGCTTCGAGGTCTGGTGGCCAGCCCCTTTGTGCTTCCGTATAAAAAATTCCAGGTCCCTGCGTGCGATAGATTTGGCTGGAGAGCTCGGTCAGACAGACAGACAGACAGACACATTACACTTGCTTTTATTATTATAGATTGCATACACAAAGGCAGGGAGAAAAAAAAAATTTTTAGCTGATGATAATTTTAAAAAAAGTGGCGAGAGGGGAGATCCATTAAGAGTTTTAGCCAATTTCTTTCTATATACATTTCGAACAGGACGAAATATCACTCGACCTGATTTCTACTGAATGATGGCTCATTTTCTTAATGGATACTGGTACATAACATAAGATACATTAGTAGCAATGATAGTATAATACTTTATCTTTCAAAAGAATTATTACCAGGATGAAAACTAAGCAATAGTATTTCTATCACTAAATGGCATAACAGATTTTTAAATTTACAGCATATTTCTGCACATAAGACTATAAATGAATCATTAAAAAAAGGCCTCCAAAATCTGGGGTTGTCTTATAGGACAGATTAAAAAAAAGCGAGACAAAGCACGATTGAAATTTATATAAAGCCATTATAAAATAAAACATATTAACCAATGCATTTATATCCTCACATTAATCATCTAAGGTAAATAACACTTCAAGTACAACCTCACTTTCGTTGTTGAGAAGCTTGTCGTGTGTGTCATTTTTGCTTCAGACTAATAACAAACTTGTAACTTTATAACCAAGATCTTGTGTTAATTTCTACGCAATTCTTGTTTTCTGTTGTATTACCAGATTTTTCTGTTCATGAAATGATTGCACCAACCTTCTGTTACTTTAAATTCTTTGCCATGTACTGGACTGGCCTGTGCTCACTTCAATGCATATGCCTTAATCATACTTCTCATAAAAACATAACAATTCTGCCTCTGTTCTTGTTACCCATTCCACATTATTTTCTAAAACTGGCCAGTAAGCTATTTCTCTCCTAATACAACCCTTTTTTCATTGGCATTTTTTTTTAATAGCATCTTTATTCTTTCTCCAGTCTCCTATATTCTTCTCTGTTATAATGCAAGTCCTCGCTGCAACACAGTTGTTTGGTTCTTTAGCAAATTTTATGACTTTTAACTTGAAGTTTGTTTCTATTTCCTTCTTCTTTCTTTCTTTTCTTTTTCTTTTTTTCCCCCCCTATGATTAGGCCCACAATTTACAAACTGTAACGTTGATTACACTTATAGTACAAATTGTTTAAAAACATGACAAAATATACAACAAAACTTGTTGGGATATGTTAGTTCATGATATGGCATGTGCTTCTACAGCTAATGCTGCCACATGCAAAAATTTATTCCAATTATGGTCTAAACTAATTTCATAGATCACTGAGTATACTGAGGGTTGTGTTATCGGGCAGACATATGCTAAAACTATAAAACTTTGACAAAAATTTATACATCATCTTAGCTGAATGCATCTTAGCTGCGGAAATGTATGGTAATGTACTACTTTAGAACAGGAATAACCAGTAAGGCATTCAACAAACAATTATTAATTCATTGTTCCCAGTTATAAGAATATGACAAAGCACATAAAGAGTACCTGACTAGATTAATTGTGGCAAATAAATACTCAACTCATGCATCAAGTAACGAAATCATAACTACTATTCATTATTAATACAACTAAATGTTTTATACTTAATCTCTGTGCCTTCATCATTAATTTACAAAGGACTGAAATATGTTTAAATTTCAAGAATAGCTCCCAAATAAGTTTTTAACCCCTTTGCAATGGCATATTGCTGAACTGAAAATTCTTTAGAGATGACGGTGTCATATATGCCTCAGTCCTAAATGTCCCTAACAGCCAGGTGATGCATTGGTGCATTGTCGCTTACATTGATCTTCACGACAAGTGTATCATACATGCACTTTCAAACATATATGTTCTTTCAGAATTTTTTTAATCACTAGATGGTGCTTCATGTCCACTACAGTCAGCTTATTTTAACATATACATTGCTGACCTTCTGTCTATGTAACTATCTTCTGATTCTGGTGATTTATTTAGATGTACGAGTGGTAGATATAAAGTAAACAAAACCTAGTTGATGGGCAGTTGAGGTTTCACGTGATATAAACACTGAACAGTTTCTTATGCTTCAATTCCCCCCCCCATACAAAGCTGGGAAGTGGAGCTGTGGGTTTTAAAACTACCATTTGCATTCAGTTTGCATCTTCTTTAGGTAGCAGATGTGATGATAGGTTTTTTGCAACAGTTAAGAAAATTACACTAATAATGCGATGTCTAAAAGGTAAAAGTTAAAATGGAAGAAGAGCATACCGAAATTTTGTCAGAGACTGAACTGGAAACTTGTTTTGCTCTCACTTCACAATCCAGCACAAGGGTGGATACTCCACCATAATTTGATATGTTAAGTAACTTGTGAATTTATGGGAATTGCAGGAGTAAATTTTATTCAGAGTTATGTGAATAAAATTAATTTTGTCACCATTTTTTTCGATGATGATTAGCTAAAACTACAGTAGTTCAACATAACAATTGAAGAAACTAATAATTTTTTATGAACAAAATACAAGTGAAACACCACCTTCATCCAAAACCAACGTACTTCTGTAGATGTGCCTAAAATGAAGGATTCCTAGTATTAATTATTCTGCTGGGAATAAAGAAAATGTCCAACCTGAAAATATATTTCACAACTAATGAAATGCTAGTGACTAGACTATCACACACTGTCTCCTTTCTGAATCATTCATGCTATAATATTTAATCATATATTCTGTTATTTTTTGGCATATGTTTAGATATAGATTTAAATAAGTTTTGTACAACATTTCATCAAAATGAGTCAAATATTTTATTTTGCATCTAGATTTTAATTAAAATTTTTCAGAATCTCTTGATATTCTGTATTTTCTTTGTCTGTCTTTTTTTTTTTTTTTTTAAGTTAGGCTTAGTGACATGAAATACCCCATTCTTCGAGATCACAACACAGTCTCCAAGGTTAATTGCATCAAGTGGCATGCTGTTGTGCATGAGGATTAAGTACTGATGCATATATGATGAAGTGGTTTAAGTATTAAATTCATTCCAACAATAAATAAGCTGTTTATATACAACAATTTTAGGAGGATTTAGAGAGGATTAGTTTAGGATTAAATATTTAAAGGTTATTTAAGGAAACAGCTGGGTTCATGGAACTCTTTTTGAGGAAAGCCACTTTTAATTTATGTTACAGGAGGAGAACAGCACAAAAATCCTACCCAGCTAACTTACTTGATCAACAAAAATTCAATCTATGATAAACAACCAGAATTTTATACTTCCATTCAGTTATTAATGCACACAAACAGGATTTTTGGTACTCTTCTGTTATCGGGACCGAATTCAGAAATGTATATATGTATGTATGGATTCATGCATGCATGTATGTATGTGTACACACATATAGGCATATACCATACACTTCTGAAGCTGGCCCTGATAACAAAAGAGTACCGAATTTTCTCTCAAATCTGTTCTTTTCATCTTCCATATGACGCCATCAATTAAAAAAAATATTCTAATGAATGAGTTATTGTTAATGATAAATTGCTGGTAAAAGTGGTTAAATTTTCATAAAACAGATATTTACTACTTTTGGTATTTCATTACTTTTCCATTGATCTTTTTAGGCAAATTGTGTCATTAAATAACTTGATTCAGCACCAATAATGAACAAAGATGATGACACAACGCACTCATAAAATTTTTGCTTTAGTTTTATGTAACTTTAATTTCCAATCAGTTTAGACTCTGTAAAAAAGGATATAGAACAACCGCTATTTTTCTATTACACCCATTTTAGAAAGAAAAAAAAAATTAAAATTAAAATTTGGGGTCTGCCTTCTAAAGAACAGCAAGCAGGGAAGTATTTTCATGAAGTAATGAGGCTGATTTTACTAGTGCTCATTCTTGAAACATTGAAAGAATACGCAGATCAGCAAAATGGCACAATGACGGACATTCCAGAGCCACACGATACAACTTAGTTTCGAATTTAAGTAAATATATGTGATGCTAAGTTTGCAAAGGTCACAATTTTGCTGCTGTTTTTAATGCCATTAAAGATTTCAGACTGGTGGAATGAATCGCATTAATTTTAATGAATTTCTTAAATAACCTCAAAGTTTGAGCTCATACTTATTTCATGTTTTTATGTATATTTCTTATATCAATAGTCTATATCTGTTGATTATCTAATTAATTAAATTAATATGATTATGTAACAATAAAAAGCAATCTATTCCTTCAAACTTTGTCAGAATATTTGGCATAAATTTGGCAGAATCTCTGTCAACTTTCATGGTCTATGACTAAACACATAAATATCCTATTTCCTAACGAACAAAAAAGAAAATATATACACAATTTAAAAAATAAAAGATATATCTATCAGGCACATACATATTTCTTACATGACTTCCTAAATTATAAATAGTTAAGTTCATATTTTTATATTAAGAATTTAATTTTTTAAATCAACAAATTTAAGGGATAAATTAAAACAAAAATTAACTTATATTATACAGTGAAAGAATGTGAAAAAATTCAAATAAAAATTTAATACACACTTAATATTTATATAAAATAATGTATCCTACAACACTGATATAAATTAAAAAACAAAGCAATTTTTTTTTTAATACACACCTTCTTCAGCATCCAATGGATCATCAGAAGAAATATCAGGTTCCTCCACAACCCATACAGAAGACTGATCATCATATGTAACCCTCTTCTTATCTCGCTCACGATTGCGTCTCTCTGACTGCCGTTTTACAATGCGAACGGTCTTGATTTCAGAAGGTTTTTCTTTGGGAAGTATGCCTGAGAGAGTACAGCAAAACATTACAGTAAAACATAAACTGTATACAGTACAAAGTCTTTAATCCGGGACCCATCGGGACTTCGGCGATTCCAGATTAGGGGTCTTTCCGGATTATAAACCATCAATTTAAATCTGGTAAGATGGAATGAAGAAATTATAAAATTAAAAATATGAAATAATGATTTATCAAATTATAAAGCATTTATGATCTAAATGATATCAAAAATTTACAAAAAAAACAAAGCTTTAATATTTATTTGTTCACTTTATTAAGCATATTCTTTCACTGTAAGTTGTTTAGTTGCTTTGTTTTATGTGTTAATAAATGAAGCAAACTCTTTAATTCTATAAACAGACATTTATTTCTTGTTCAGTTACACATTTCCGCTGTTCAAATCCTGTAATTGCTGTGCCGAGAATGCCGACTAACTTGTCAATCGAAATTTTTTCGTTTTCACTAACCTCTCTGGCACTTTCTTCATGCCTTTATCCATTTTTTGCAGCAATTCCACTTTTGGTTTGATGGACAAAAAAGAAAATATATACATAATTTGTATAAAATATATATATAGTAAGACCCCGCTAATGCTGTTTCGTTTAGCGCTCTTTTATTCACCCGGGGATTCTCCGAAATTGGTGCGCAGCGGTAGGTTCCAAATAACATATCCGAAACAGTGTAGTTGTGTTCTTGCTTGTGGACGCTTTTTATCATTTGAACATTTGTTGACATTGTTGTAAGTTTAAATTTGTATAGGTGACAAAAATTATGATCTTTAGTTTTTATCATGGGTGATAATAAAAAACAAGAAAAGAAATCAACCAGAAAAAGCATTTCACTGGAAACTCAAATGCAAGTGATTAGAAGATTAGATTCTGGTGAACGTCAATCTCAAATTAGTGCTGCATTGATTTGGCACTTCAACAATAAGGATAATTCTTAAGAAGAAAAAATACTGTCATCAGCAAACTGCAACTACGTCAAGCTCTGCAACTAGAATTACCCGTTCTAGAAATAACATTATAGAGGAAATGGAAAAAACGACTGTCTATATGGATTGACGACGAAATTGAACGCAATATGCCATTAAGCCAATCTATCATAATGCCTTCTTGACAAAAAGGCAGAAAATTGGAAACCCAGAATAGACTGAATGATCTGACTGAGAATTTTTATTTGTTTTTAAAAGTATATGCGTTTATTGTTTTTTTTTTTGTAAGAAATAAATGTTTGATTTTTTTTTTTATTAAAAAAACATTATTAAATTTAATGCCTAACCATTTTTTATCTTACCGTCTTCTTCCCCTAACCCCATTATTTACATGTTAAGATAGCCTCGCTTAGCGCTGTTTCGCATTACGCTCTACTTCGATGGAATGTATCCCCCGCGTTAAGCGGGGTCTTACTGTATAATTTGTAGATCCTTTGGCAGCTCCAGAATCAGAAACTCTTTTTGACATAATCAAAAGTTCAAGCTTACTTTTTAATAAATTGCTCTAACAGTCTGCAAAAAATAATAAGCCGGATCCAATTAGAAGATTAAGGAATAACACAATCTGCAACATTAACTGAAATAGATAATTAGATAATTTTAGCCTAGCTTATAACGTTCATTATACATTAAACGCGCATGTGTAAACATATTATGTGCATGTGTAAAGGTATTATGCGAATGCATAAATGCTACGCATGCACAGAAAGTTTGTAGTTTTGAGGTCCGGATTATGGATGTCCGGATTAAAGGCTTTGTACTGTACAAGAATACACTGGATTATTAAATCTGGCCAACATACATTTACAGTTACAATTTAAAACATTTGCCAATATATATAGTATAAAGTCCAAGATCCAGAATCATCTGGACTATAGCAATTCTGGAAATTTCTGGATTTTAGATTGCCAGTTTAAATCTAGTAAGATGGCATGGCAACACTAGGGTTTCATTTTTTTTTTTTTTTTTTGGCCAACAAAAAAAAAATGCTACCTTCTCTGCTCGAAAAGGGCAATGACAAAGCAGGTGCAACTGGTGTACCAGGTGTGAGAATTAAAAGGCAACAAAAATTTTAGACTTCAGAAGAGGATCAAGCAGCAAAAATAGAAAAGGTATTGGGTAGTAGAATTAGAAGGGGCAAAATGCATAATGAAGACCATGCCCCCTCCCCAATTACTGCATTGAAATGGAACCTAGCCAGTATCAACACAACATCAATCAGTGCAATGTTATTGTCCAACCACATATTCCAGATTCATGTAAACATCCGGTTTGGGGCAGAAGTGGGCATATCTATCAGCATACCTGCCAACCTCTAAAGATAAAAATTCAGAAGAACACAAAGAATTAATATCATGCTTTGATATTAAAAAAATAACAATTTATACAAATAGAAAAAAGAAAATTGTATTTACATTAGTAAATCTCAATTAAGTAGTAACTAAAAAATTTATTAGGAAACATAAAACAAGAACTTATGTTACACAAAAAAAATTATTGCAATGAATTCAGAGTGGCATTTTTTTGCTTTAGCCAAAAATTCTTTGGAAAATTTCCTGTCAGAACAATTAGTTTCCTCATAACATTTAGCAATTAAGATGTTTTCTAGAGTTTTTGGTGAAATTGAAGAACGAAACATAGTTTTGTTTTTTTCACAACACTGAAGACTCTCTTGCACTCAGCATTACTGTGTGGAATTACGAGATAGCACATAAAACTCTTGCTAGTCTATCATATTTTGGTGTTCCATCAGCTCTTTTTATTCTTTTTAGGTACCAACGGGACATCAAGTCCTATCTCTCCAGAACTGGCAAAGTCTTCAAACTGTGCAGCAGAAAATTGGTTCTGTAGTTCATTTAAAGCATCATTATGGCATTCATTTTCTTTAATTGTAACAAAAATGGAAATTTATCAATAAAAAAACGAATCTTTTCAAAAGATGAATTTTTCAATTGTTTCAAATTTGCCACTTCAGCATTTAAAGAACTTCATTTTGCAAGGAAACTTCCTTACAATGTAATCACAGGCTGAGGAAAAGTACTTCTAACACATTGAAAAAATTCTTTTTTCTCATGATCTTTCAAATTTACAAGTTTCCCTGGTTTGATTTCCAATTATAAGATCATTGTCATCCTTTAATTTGCCAAACATAGGCAACAAGAATCAACACACTGTTTTTCACACGACAGTTTTACAAACTTAGTATAAAGTTCTTTCAAAAGATCATTAAAATTTGGATAAGCAGGGGAGATTTTGGCGAAGCATTGTAGAAGGGTATTCACACTTTCAAAAATCTTAATGGTACTTAAACAAAACTACAATATGCTTTGTTCAAATCCGTATTAAGAAAATTCGTAGCACGTACAAACACACACACACACAAAAAAAAAAAAAAAAAAAAAAAAAAAAAAAAAAACAGAATGCGAGAATCAACGCTCGCTGAGTAATTCCCTTGCTGCTGAAGCGAACACGGAAAAAAAATCTGGCGCCCACAAAGAAAAGAGTGGGAGAAACAAGTTCAGCGCATTGGATTGGCTGGTTAAGCGGCGAGTTGGGAGAAACCGCAGGTTACTGGATTCGAAGTAGTCGGTAGTTGGCGGTAAAACACAATGCAATTGGCGAAAATCGCTGAATTGGTGAAAAATTCTAAAATTTCGACAAAAATCACAAAAAACACTTGAAAAAGGAAAAAAATCGTAAAAAATGCATTACGATCGTAAAATCGTAAAGACAAACGCATTTTCCTAAAAATTACGAAAAATTCGTAAAAGTTGGCAGGTATGCTATCAGCGATTAGTAGATTTAAAAGGTTCTTCCATTTCGCGTTCTTATCTTTCGAGTGCTACACAACAAAAAATTTTTATCCGCACTTAATGCATTTTAAACTGATGTACCATGAAATTTTAAAATTATAGAATTAAATTAAAATGCATAAAAAAATCAGATTGTAACATTTCAAAGAAAAAACAGTATAAGAACTGTAATATTAAACTATATATCTTAATATAATTCATCATCAATTTTGTACATATTTAGGAGATAATATTAATTTCATAATAATTTAATAGATAAAAATTAATTTAATAGATAATACATTTTAATTATCTATTAAATTCTATTAATTTTAAATATTTTCAAACATTGAATGAAAAACTTTTACCTGTTAAATATGCTTTAATAAATTACATTTCTTAATATAATCAAATGATCTCTAAAATAAAGCTATTTAATGAGAGGAGGTTGCGTAAAAATTATTTTAGTTTTAATTAGGCATGCCATACCTTCCCCCTCCTTTACATTTACTTTGGTGACACAACATCAAGGGTTCTCCAAAATCATACAGAATTCAGAATCTGAATTGTCGCTGACAGTAAAATTTAATGGTTCACATAATTCTTCTATAATACCATCTTTTCTCCAATATTCAGTTTCTAAATTCTTCGCATGATCACAATACTTCTTTCAACTGTTCCACGAAACACCTTCAGTAGCCTCATTTGTGAAACGTAATAAAAAAATTCGCGAACATAACTTTTACTTCTGTCCATATGTACTTTATGGCGTTTATATCATAGTGATATGGTGGAAGTCGCAGAACTGTACAGCCTTGTTCTTTGATTATACAATCAAATTTTAAAGTTTTGACTTTGGGAGCATTTTGTTTCACTAAATCCACTAGTTTCACTTTTCACAAATTCAGACAAAAAGAAATGCTTTTTGTCAGCCACTGCATAATATCTTCCTTCTTTTTGGGAAGCATTGAGGGCTTTATTGAACTGCACCAAACGATAAGGTGCAGCATTATGAATAATTATCATGGAATTTGGCAGTAGGTTTGAAATTAACTTTTTGTTTGCCCATTTTTCAAATATTGAAGAATTCGTTTGTGATAATCGGTAGTTGTAGAGTTCATTTTACCACGAGCGCATATAATTGTTATGCAGCAAGAAACATTCCCTGTTTCTAAAATCTCACTGATTTAATTTGATTGCCAGCATATTCCAAATGTTAAATTGCTGCTCATCCATGTTTCATCTATGTATATTAACCTTTTCAGGCCAGGGCTTTGGTAGCAGTAAAAGCTACCAAAGGACGGGGAATCTTGAACCGAATGCTTTCCCCCCTTTAAGAAATCACCTCCTATTTGCAACAAAGAT